TTTATTTGAATGAGGACGATCTTTCGAACTCAAAGCAATAGATAGCCCTTAGGATTTTGTACTGGGCCGACATGGCCTTGGTATAAAGAATGTTTTTCCCTTTTTCGGCTTGAAAAGTTTTCATTTGTATTTGTAAAACCTATAATGCCTTAGCATGGAATAAGGGATTGTCTGAAAGTTTGAATAAATTTGTACTCATTAGAGTTTTCAAGGCTTGATATTATCGGAGCCCTTTATAAATTTGCCGAGGGTAGCCCTTTTAACCGGTGTATGAAAGTATTCAAAGGCCTGTTTCACTACGGAATTCGGACGTCTCCGAAGCGTGTTAATTTGGAAGTAACCTTTTTTTTGGGACTTGCCTCTTAGGCATATTTTCCCATTTCACTTCGAGCTTGCCCAATGTGTCAGCTCCCGAGTGGGGTGGCCATGGCCTGTAAAAATCAAGGGTTGCCTTTAAGGTCTTACGATCTCGAAGTGCTAATAATTTGATCTCGTTTGTTTTTCGGACGTCAGTCCCCGAGCGTGGGGGTTCCGTTATGATTGACCCTTAAGCATGTTCACACAATAGATCAAGAGTACGAAATTGTAAAGTAGAAATTTTTTTCTAAGGCATGAGATATCGGCAAGGGAAAATACTTCTTTCAATAGATGACTATACACGCGTACATGTTTGATGTTAGGGCTCGATTAACCTATATGGGCACTATTCGTTCGACCGTTTGGCCCTTACAAAATTTACCTATCGAGATCCCGCTGTTACGAAGTAGTTTCCTTGCAACAAAGTTGACATTCGAGGGTAATGTCCCCCAGTAATCGAGGTTGAATGTAAAGAAGTCTCCGGATATTATTGAATTATTCTAAGTTAGCACGATCAATGGTTGCCTCGCTAAAAACCGCCGGAAAAACCCATTTGGGACAAAAACCAGTCTAATGGAAAAAGAGTACAACACGTGCTTTCAGACCTAAAGACTTCGTATAGAAGAATCCATCGCCGTCCTCGATCTAACATCTGTAATTGGTTAGTTTAAAATATAAATGAAAAATGGAGAAGGTCGTACCTTAGTAGTAATATCGCTTTAGAAGTGACACGTTCCAATTGTTTGGTAGTTGTTCGCTATTCATCGTGCTAAGCTTGTAGGATCCCTTTCCGATGATGTCGAGGACCTGATATAGTCCCTCCAAATTTGGACCCAGTTTTCCTTGATTTGGGTTTCGAGTGTTGAGGTTGACTTTTATTAGCACCAAGTCCCCAATTTTAAAGTGTCGAAGATTGGCTCTTCAGTTGTAGTACCTTTCGATCCGCTGTTTTTGTGCGACCAATCGAACGAGGGTGGTCTCGCATCTTTTATCCAACAATTATAGGCTCGTATTCATGGCCTCGTTATTCGATTCTTCTATTTCATATCAAAACTTGAGGCTAGGTTCTCCTACCTCGACCGGGATAAAGGCTTCGGCACCATAGACCAAAGAGAACGGTGTTGCCCCCATACTGGATTTCGATGTTGTGCGGTACACCCAAAGAACCTTGGGCAATATCTCTCTCCATTTTCCCTTAACGTCGGTCAATCTTTTCTTAAGATTTTGAGTGATGGTTGTGTTGGTTGATTCGGCTTGTCCGTTCCCGCTGGGATGGTATGGCGTTGATAGAATCCTTTTAATCTTGTGATCCTCGAGAAATTTAGTCACTTTGCTACCGATAAATTGCTTTCCGTTGTCACACACGATCTCGGCAGGCATCTCGAATCGGCATATATTGTGGTCCCAAATGACGTCTATGACTTCTTTTTCTCTAACTTTCTTGAAAGCATGGGCTTTAACCCACTTAGAAAAATAATCAATAATAAATAAAATAAACTCAGCTTTACCTTGGGCCGATGGTAGAGGGTCGACGATGTACATTCCCCATTTCATGAATGGCCATGGGGATAAGACCGAGTGGAGCTGCTCCCCAGGCTGGTGAATCATAGGCGCATACCTTTGACATTTATCGCACTTTCGAACGAACTCTTTTGTATCCTTCTCCATATCAGCCCAATAGTACCCTGCTTTGATGACTTTGTGAACCAGTGATTCGGCACCGGAGTGGTTCCCACAAGTGCCTTCGTGAATCTCCCGTAGGACGTAGTCGGTGTCTCCTGGTCCCAAACATATCACCAATGGCCCATCAAACATCCTTCTGAATAATGTTCCATCCTCGGCCAAACTAAACCGTGCTGCCTTCGTGCGTAGAGTCCTTGACTCCTTCGGATCTGATAGGAGTTTCCCGTTCTTTAGGTATTCAATTTACTTGTTTCTCCGATCCCAAGTCAAGCTTGTGGAGCTTATTTTAGCGTGGCCTTATTCGATTACTGACCTCGAGAGTTGCACGACAGTCCCCGAGTTAAGCTTGTTATTTTTGACCGATGATCCCAGGTTTGCAAGGGCATCGGCCTCGCTGTTCTGTTCCCGATTTATGAAAGGTCCATTTTTTAAATAGATGTAAAGTTACATCTATCTTGTCCAAGTATATCTGCATTCGATCTTCTCGGACTTCGAATGTTCTGTTGACTTGGTTTACCACAAGTAGGGAATCACATTTGGCCTCGATGACCTCTTCTCCCAAACTTTTAGCCAGCTCGAGACCTGAAATCATGGCCTCATACTCTGCCTTATTGTTAGTTAACTTCGAAGTTTTGATAGACTGTCTAATTATGTTACCCGTGGGCAGCTTCAAAATGATGCCTAGCCCGAAACCTTTCACGTTCGAATCACCGTTCGTGAACAGTTCCTTTTCGACCTCGAGTACGAGGGCTGGCGTGATGTTGGCCACGAAGTCTGCCAAGATTTGGGACTTGATGGTCATTCGGGATTGATATTCGATATCATATCTGCTGATCTCAACAGCCCATTTGGCCAGTTGACCCGAGAGTTCGGGTTTGTGCAAAATATTACGAAGGGGATAAGTAGTTACGACACAAATCGGGTGGCATTGGAAATATGGTTTTAATTTCCTAGAGGCGCTTATTAAAGCTAGCGCTAATTTCTCTAAGTGTGGGTATCGGGTCTCGGCCTCACCTAAGGTCCGACTAACATAGTAAACAGGGAATTGCGTACCTTGCTCTTCTCGAACTAGGACCCCACTTACCGCTATTTCCGAGACCGCCAAGTATAAGTAGAGTTGCTCGTCCGCTTTCGGGGTGTGAAGCAGTGGAGGGCTTGACAGGTATCGTTTTAGTTCTTCTAAGGCTTGTTGGCATTTCTTCTTAAGCAGTGAGAAGAACCGGTGACTTCTATCTGAGGACCTCGAGATGAATCACCCTAGGGCAGCTATGCGCCCGGTCAGCCTCTGCACGAACTTCACATTATCCACGACTTTGATATCCTTGATAGCTTTGATTTTATCGGGGTTGATCTCGATCCACCGTTTGGACACCATGAAGCCGAGAAACTTTCCCGAGTCGATGCCGAATGCACACTTTTCTGGGTTGAGTTTCATGTTATACCTCCTTAGTATATCGAAAGTCTCCTGCAAAATATTTCAAATGGTCCTCTACTCGCAGGGACTTAACTAGCATGTCATCAATATAAACTTCCATAGATTTCCCTATCTGTTCTTCGAACATTCGATTTACTAGGCGTTGATAAATTGCACCAGCATTTTTTAGTCTGAATGGCATTACGTTATAACAATAGGTGCCAATTTAGTGATAAACGAAGTCTTTTCCTGATCCTCCGGGTCCATCTGTATTTGATTGTACACGGAGTAAGCATCGAGAAAACTAAGAATCTCGTGGCCGGCCGTGGCATCGATCATGCGATCGATGTTCGGCAAAGGAAAAGAATCTTTAGGGCAGGCCTTGTTCAAGTCCTTATAGTCTATGCACATTCTAAGTTTATTTCCCTTCTTAGGGACCACCACTACGTTTTCTAACAATTCGGGATATTTTATTTCCCGAATGGACCCTATTTTGAGAAGTTTGGTTACCTTGTCCTTGATGAATGTATGCTTAACCTCGGATTGGGGTCTTCTCTTTTGCTTTAGTGAACGGAACTTGGGGTCCAAGCTTAGTCGATGGGTGGTGATCTATGGTGGGATCCCTGTCATATCGAGATGGGACCAAGCAAAATAATCTATGTTATCTAAAAAGATTTGAATAAGTTTTTCCAAAGCTCGGGAGTTAACCTCGTGCCAGGTATACCTTTCGATCGGGTAGATGCTCGATCAATATGATTTGTTCCAGCTCTTCGACTGTTGAATTCGTTGTGTAAGAATCATTGGGGATTATGAAGGTTCGAGGTATCATATAATCATCATCCTCGAAAGTTTCCTGCTCCTCCGATCGGGTCGAGGCCGGTGACTGTGGATGCTATTTGACTTCCTGTTTTCCCTTCGACTTTGAACCTTTGTTGACGAAAGGGCCGATACCGGTATCACTTCGTCAGTTGCAAACATTTCTTTTGCGGCGGGTTGTTCACCGCACACCGTTTTGACTCCTTCCGATGTTGGGAACTTCAGGACTTGATGAAGTGTCGAGGGTACTGCCCTCATATTATGGATCCAAGGTCTTCCGAGCAGTGCTTTGTACCTCATGTCACCTTCGATCACATGGAACTTTGTTTCTTGGATGGTCCCAGCCACATTTACTGGCAAAATAATTTCCCCTTTTGGTGGTTTCACTCGCCAGGTTGAAGCTATTAAGTACTCGAGCAGCAGGCACAATTTGATCTTGTAGGCCGAGTTGCTCTACGACCTTTGATCGAATAATGTTGGCCGAGCTACCTGGATCAATCAACACACGTTTAACTTGAATTTTATTCATAAGGATAGATATTATCAGTGCATCATTGTGAGGTTGTTCGATCCTTTCTACATCCTCGTCGTTGAAAGACAAGGTGTCTTCCGGTAAGTAGTCCCGAGTCCATTTTTCTCTTGTGATTGTCACCTTGGTGCGTTTGAATACCGGCCCTTGGGGAATATCGACCCCTCCAACGATCATGTGAATCACGTGCTATGGCTCTTCTTACTCGTTCTGTCTGTTTGAATCTCTGTTTTTGAAGTGGTTCTTGGCCCGATCACTTAAGAATTCTCGAAGGTTCCCCTCATTGAACAACCGGGCTACTTCCTCCCTTAGTTGTCTGTAATCTTCTATTTTATGGTCATGGGTGCCATGATACTTGCATATTTTGTTTGGGTTTCTTTGGGCCGTATCGGTCTTCAGAGGTCGAGGCCACCTGGTATCTTTGATACGCCCAATGGCCGATACTATGGCGGAAACATCTATGCTGAAGTTATATTCTGACAGTTGAGGTGATTCGTTGGACCCGGCATCCCTATTGAAACCACTCTTGCTCACGAGACCTCGGGAGCTTTGTCCCCGATCATTCCTTCTATCATTCCAAACGAGGTTGTGTCCAAACTCGTTATTTCTCTGATCTCTCCCATATGGCTGATATCGGTCTCTGTTCGATCGTGGTTCTCGATCGACATTCCTTTTAACTCTATCTACGGGCCTGCTGGGATAAATCGAACCAATTGGAGCCCCTAGTTGATTTCTTCAACCCTAATCTTCGACTGCGATTATGTACATTAGACCAAGTGACGGCTGGATATTCGATCAAATTCTGCTTTAATTGTTACGTAGCTATGAAACTCCGTTCGTTGAGACCTTGAGTGAAGGCTTGAACATCCCAATTGTCGGTGACCGGTGGAAAATCCATCCGTTCCATTTGAAATCGAGATATGAATTCCCCGAGCATCTCTTTGTCATTTTGCCTTACCTTGAATAGGTCCGACTTTCTAGTTGCAACCTTAATGGCTCCAGCGTGCGCCTTCACAAAAGAATCGGCAAGCATAGAAAATGAATCAATAGAATTAGGTGGCAAATTATGGTACCATATCATGGCACCCTTTGATCGGCTATTTTTTGCGTTCTCGCCATGAAGACCAAGCCCGTTGTCGTTGAGTGTGGGTACTACTTGGGAGTTTGACATGTTCATCCTGAAATCAAAGGCAATTCAAAGAACAAGCAAAAAATAATACGTGTTACGAAAATTGTACAGGGCAATCACTATTATCCTTAGCCCCACAGTGGGCGCCAAACTGTTTACCTTTAAAATCGGATAACAATTAAACTTATAAGTGGTTTTAAGAATATGTAACAGTAAAACAAATCAAACCAATTCCTTGAGCTAATTGCCCTCGAACCAACTAAAAAAGCTATTGAAAGTACGAACTGGACAACAGAGTTTGAGAGATAAAAGTGTGATATATTGCTTTGATATGCGTGAATGTAAGATGGTTACAAAATGATTAGAACCCTTTTCATATAATCGAGGAATCCTATTTATGGTACAATTTTAATTACAGAAGTAAATCACATGATAGGCTAAATATCCGATCCTAACTTGATACGTGCCGATATTTCCGCTAGGATCCCCGCCTAATCACGAATATCTCGGTTTTCTGTTATTTGACGTAGCAAGCCTTCTTCGATCTTGTTCGATCTCTTTCTCGCTTTGGTCTCGGGCACGGCCGCCTTGATCTTCATTTGCGTTGATCCACGAGCTTATCAATCTGTCTCTGTACCATATAACTGGGGTCGGGCCTTGATCTTCCGTCCCGACTTCGATTAGTCTTACAAAATTAGGCAAGCCCGATGTGACCGTATACAATATATTTTGATTGTCTTTTGATTATTTGCTTGCTTCCATCATTGGATATATTTGATAACTCTACTCACTAAGATGTAGATAATATCTTTTTAAGTATATATTAACAGTTAAGAAAAATTTCTTTTATAAATTCTTCTAATCTAATAATCTCAATTTTGTAACCGTGAGTAGATGTTAAGATAATTTCATACATTTAAAATAATTCAAATCAATTTTAAAGTGAAAAATGAATTAATCCATTCTTTATGAGAAATAACCAATTCTAAAAAGTTCTACCTTTCATTTTTTTAAAATTATCAAAAGTCGTCATCAAGTTGCTCATTATCATATATTGTAAGTTTATTATGAATTCAGGTTATTTGTCTGAATATCCCCTATCACATTCCAAAAAGTATCAAACTTGTATGTTTTATCACTCCCTCCGCACCATTAAATGTGAAGATGTTACTGTTGGCGAATTAAATAGTTTTTTCTTAAACTTTTTTGAATCATTCTAGATTTGTTGACTTGTAGTAGTTTTCAAATTTACAAATTTTATTTTAAAAGTTTCAAAAAATTATAATCGAATTCATAGTCAAAATTAAGCATTTTGATCCTCATTCTTCAAACCGTTCACATAAATTGAAACATCGAAATAATAAATTTATTACGTGCAAATAATATATAAAATAAAAGAATTTGGGGCCTTAAATTTTGGTGTGTGTGTGTGTTGTGTGTGTGTG